TGTAACTATGTTTTAACACACCCTCCTAGGCAAAGTGAGGGATAGTCAATACAACAAACGGTCACCAGACCAGTCAGGCAAGAGAACGAAGCAATGCAAAGCACAGGGTGGATCTCAAGATCACCACGCATTCTGAGCACAAGTAAGTGGCCACAAGGCTAGTTCATATGCAGAGTTATAAGAGCAAGGCATTACACTGATCACAACCTAGCAAGAGTAAACAAGCATGTATAAAGATATATACATATAGGTATGTATATCAGTATACAACAAGTGAAAGTTCAAGAGACAAGCGGGAGAGGCAGACCGGGCAGAAGCCCAAGAGCAGTGCAAAAACGCTAATGATCACCAAACCCAAGGGCCTTGGTGAAGACATCAGCAGTGTTGGCCTGAGAGGCCACGTAGAAAAGGCGAAGCTGACCACGCTGCTACAGCTCCCGAGCAAGAAAGTAGTGAAGATCAATGTGCTTCGTTCTGTGCTCCAGACTCTGCTCGTGACTCAAGGCAAGCGTAGCTTTGTTGTCGACGTACAAAACTGGAGAGAAACGAGGCCGCTTCCCCAAGTCGGCCAGCAGGTAGGTCAGCCAGCATAGCTCCTGTGCAGCCATAGCCCCAGGGTTGATCTCGGCCTCACAACTGGAACCAAGCACAGAAGACAAACGAGCAGACCTCCACGAGACACAGCCAGAGCCAACACCGAAGGTGTAAAATTCACGAACGCTGAGTCGCCTGGTCGTCAGCCCAAGAAGCATCGGAGTGTCCTGTAAGTACCACTGAACCCTGTCCTCCAAGCCCCCATGCCTCATGTACTGCACAAGTAACGCAGTACCCTCTTCGTAGCATCCCAGTGCACCTTTTGGTGTCTACCGGGAGCCACATAGCAAGCGAGGAGGCTGAGAGGGTACGCGAGGCCAGGTTGTGTGCACGTCATCAAGTACATGAGCCAACCCACAAGCTCTGGATACTGACCACTCGGCTCTACGGACTCGTCTGAAGGTGGAGCTGAGAGCGAGTGGCCAGTTGGCAGAGGAGTGGGCTCTGGCAAGGAGTGCTGGAAGCCGAAGCGCTGAAGGACCTGGTGCACCGTGCGTAACTGAGTCAGGGTGATCGTGCGCCGTGCTCTATCCTGGGTGATCTGCAAGCCAAGATAGCTCTGTAGCTTACCCAGGTCAGTGCAGGTGTGTCTCTCCTACAGCTCCTCCTTCACTAGGGCGAGCGCCTCAGTAACAGCACTAGCAAAAACCAAGTCGTCAACGAACACGAGAACGTAGAACGGCGGCAGAGAAGTGTCGGTGCGTAGAAACGACAGGTCAGCAGAGGAAGGAGCAAACCCAAGAGCCGCAAGTGTTTTCCTTAGTGTGTCGTGCCACTCGCGGGGCACCTAGCGGAGACTGTAGACTGGCCGCCGGAGGCTCCACTGGGTACCCGCAGGAAACGACCCAGTGAAGCCAGGTGGGCGGCGCAACCAGATCTTCTCGTGAAGGCTGCCTTGCAAGAAAGCTGTGGAGAAGTCGAGGGAGTGCAACGTGCAGCAACACCCAAAGAGCGGTCATCTTCGAGGTGGGGGAGAAGGTCTGGAAGAAGCCGACCCCCTGTTGTTGACTGAAGGCTCGAGCAATGTAACACGCCTTGAAGGTAGGTGGAGTACCCGGCGGCCGCTTCACTCTGAAAATCCACATGCCATCGACTATGTTCGCCCCAGGAGGAGGAACCTCATCGACGTAGGTGCCTGTGGACTTCCAGGAAGCCATCTCTACGTCCATGGCTGTCTGCCAATGAGAGGAGTACTCACCCGCGATCGTCTCAGCGTAAGAGCGCGGGGTAGGGATGTCAAGTGCATCCTGGTCTCCCTTAGGGCAAAGCATCATGGATACGAAACGAGGTAAAGCATCCGCAAGACACTCAACCTCAAACTCTCTGTCCTCAAGGACGTCACTGCTAAGGGCAGGCTCACCCCCGACGGACGGAGGACAGATAGGCTAAGACTTAGTAACAAGACTCGCGACGTAGTCAAGATGACTCCTAGCAGCAAAGTCGACTAGCTCAGTGACTAGAACAAACGTAGCAATAGACTCAAAGTCAGGGTCAGTGACGACAGTAGCGAGGAGATGAGTGACAGTAGGACTGGCAGCACGAGCCAGGTCGGACTCAGGGTCAGGAAGAGAGGATACCGGAAGAGACGGTAGGGCAACACGCTGTGGAGCAGAGGAAGGACGAAGTGCCTTAACGTGAGTGCCTCGGACAGCATGAGGACGAAGACGGGCGACCCGATGAGCACGAACAGGTGTGAAGGCACGAGACGCAGACTCACGACGCTCGGTCAGGAAGTCAAGCAACTTAGTGTAGGGAAAAGGAGCAGGCAGTTGGGAGCCAGGTGGCAACTGTGACTGGGACGCGCCAGACGGTAGACACAGGAGAGGTGGAGTAAGGCCAGTGGAAGACGGGAGACTAAGAACCTGGCGAAGGGCCAAGTCAGACGGTGGCAGGGACGACTGTTGCTGCGGGTAGAAAAATGGTCGGCGCGGCGTAGTACCCATACCGTCAGCAGCTCCAGCACCTCCAGTATCTTCAGCTCTAGCACCTCCAGTAGCACCTCCAGCACCTCAAGCACCAGTAGTACCACCAGCTTCGGCAGCTCTAATACCTCTAGTACCTCTAGTACCTCCAGCTCCAGCGCCTCCGAATGAGTGGTGATCTTGATCTCCACCCTGGGGCTCGTGCTTGGAGGACAAGGTTCAGTGGTACTCACAAGACACTCTGACGCTTCTTGGGCCGGCGACCAGGCGACTCAGCGTTCGTCACAGGGTTACACCTTCAGTCTTGGCTCTGGCTCTGTCACGTGGAGGTCTACTTGTTCTTCTTCTGTGCTTGGTTCCAGTTGTGAGGCCGAGATCTACATTGGGGCTATGGCTGCACAGGAGCTACGCTGGCTGACCTACCTGCTGACCGACTTGGGGGAGCAGCCCCGTTCTCCTCGAGTTCTGTACGTCGACAATAAGGCCAGAACACAGAACGAAGCACATTGCTCTTCGCTACTTTCTTGCTCGAGAGCTGCAGCAGCGTGGCCAGCTTCGCCTTTCCTACGTGGTCTCTCGGGCCAACACCGCTGATGTCTTCACCAAGGCACTCGGGTCTGGTGATCATCAGTGTTTTTGCACTGCTCTTGGGCTTCCCAGTTCTGCCTCACCTGCTTGTCTCTTGATCTTGCACGTGTTGTACACTGATATCTATATTATACCTACATGTCTACTCTTGCTAGGTTGTGATCAGTGAACTGCCTTGCTATTATAACTCTGCATGTGAACTGGCCTTGTGGCTGCTTGCTTGTGCTCCAAATGAGTGGTGATATTGATATCCACCATGGGCTTTGCATTGCTTTGTTCTCTTGCCTGATTGGTCTTGTGACCGTTTGTTGTGTTGGCTATCCCTCACTTTCAGGGCCTCAGATTCGTTTTGGCCTAGGCTGAAAAATCAGAGTTGGTACAAAACGTTTTGCTGAAAATCATAGAAATCAGCCATTTTATGCCATTTTACACTACAAATCTATTAAAATTTCATGTTTCATTTCAACAAACCTCTGAATAATCAGCCTCAGTTCTAAGAAAGGTCTGAATTCGCAGCCTTTCTTTACCTATATCAGCCTTTTTTCGCTTACTTACCGTATGAGGCCCTGCTCACTTTGCCTAGGGGGGTGTGTCAAAACATATTTGTGGTATGTTCTTAGTTCGGCTAGGCAACAGTGAGGTGCTTAGTATAGGGTACAACCCTAGTTCGGGTTTCATACTTGTACCGTATCTCCCTGTTGCTAGTCATTCATCATTCCTGTCTTCCTACTTTAACATGTGGCATCGCATTCAATCGCTCGTTTTTCTAGAACCATTCCTGCCAGATACTCCCACCCACGTTTCAGCACACTTCAGAAAAGGACGGCGATGCAGGGCACACGGTGACGAACTGCAACATCTCAATTGTGTGAGGATCACCTGTCGTGCCTTCATGAGCCCCGTTAGGGTGACTTGATGTGGTTCTGTGCGCTTCGCGCCAAGAAAGTGATGGAAACGCACCCGTAATGTGGATACGAATCCACCAGTAACAATGAGTTCTGTTTCGCAGATATGCACGTTGTGTAAGTACCTCTTGTATGTTCTTACAGGGGGGAAATGCAATGTGCAATGCTTTTATGCGTACCGTATTCTCCCGGACATAACACCCGCCGAAATTGTACACCCCCCGGGTAGCTTGTGCGGGGTGGGTGTTATGATAGACCTCGTTTCTACTATACCCCCGTTTTTGGCTGATTTTCTATAACACCCCCCTTTTCTTACGGATTTAGGGTTATAGTCGTTAATGAGTACCGCTGCAATACAGAAGAACTTCTCCCTCGATAAAAATTTGCGGTACACTCACGTACAATCTGCCGAGATTTTTCCCCTCCTACTATTTTGCTGTCACCACGTGCAGGTGAATCTTCCGCTGCAAGTGGCAAGAGAGGTGCCATATGGCATTTTCGTGGGGGTGATGATGTTCGCGGCCGAAACTCACATTCGTGCCTCTGACAGTGATGTTAAAGCCCGTAGCTAAAATAGTGCCCCCTCCCCCCTTTTAGTTGGGTCCATTTGAAGACACAAGTTTTTTTGGAACGTTTTGAGAGGTTGAAGTGCTATAACTTTTGTTTCTTTCACCCTCAGTCAAGTCTCGATGTGAACGGGAAACATTTGGAACTTTTCTACAATTCTGATTGGCGGCGACTTTCACTCACTTGCCTGTGCGAGTTTGGTGCAAGTTTGCAATGCTATATATTCAGACAAGGAGTCATCAAACTTCACATCAGGCAACAACACTGGCAAAATCCAGTGCACACATATGCACGAGATGACAGTGGAACACCATAGAGGTTGTTCGACGAGCTAGCAGAGATGCGGTAAAAGTGTTTCCTTGGACTTGTAGTCAAGGTGATAGAATAGGGAGTTGAGAAAAAAAGAACGAACGGAAAAAAAAAATTATGAACAAGGCAAGGAGGAACGACGGGATAGGAGGGGAGAGAGGCGAAATGGCGGCATAGGAAGGGGAGAGAGGCGGAACGACGGGACGGGAGGGGAGAGAGCGGGAACGACGGGATGGGAAGGGGAGAGAGGAGGAACAACGGGACAGGAAGGGAGAGAGGTAGAACGACGGGATAGGAGGGCAGTGAGGAGGAATGACAGGATGGACGGGGAGAGAGGCGGAACGACAGGATGGGAAGGGGAGACTGACACTAGTGACAAGGGGCACAGCACGAGGGCGATGCAAGGCAACAATAAGGGGCAGGAGGAAAGAGTACAAGGGCGAGGAGACGGGACGAGAATGTGAGAGCGCGAATGGTACGGGAGACGAGGAACGTCAGCGCGATGGCGGGGGAGGGAGGAACGTGAGCACGATGGCGAGGGGAGGGAGGAACGTGAGCGCGATGGCGAGGGGAGGGAGGAACGTGAGCGCGATGGCAAGGGGAGGGAGGAATGTGGGAGCGATGGCGATGGGAGGCAAGAAGGCGAGAGCGACGGGAATGGATGGGAGAAGGCGAGAGCGACGGGAAGGGATGGGAGAGAGCGAGATCGACGGGAAGAAATGGGAGAGAGCGAGAGCGACGGAAAGGGATGGGAGAGAGCGAGAGTGAGGGGAAGGGATGGGAGAGAGAGAGAGCGACGAGAAAGGATGGGAGAGAGCTAGAGCGACGGGAAGGGATGGGAGAGAGTGAGAGCGACGGGAGGGGATGGGAGAGAGCGAGATCGACGGGAAGGGATGGGAGAAGGTGAGAGCGATGGGAAGGGATGGGAGAGAGCGAGAGCAGCGGGAAGTGTCAAACCATGATGCTGCTTATGTTGTGTACGCTGTAGTGGGGTAGCCTATATGGGGTACAACCCAAATGGGGTTAGTACTTGTACCACATTTCTTGTCTGAACTATGCTCTAGGCTGTAGTGGGGCACTCCTTAAGGGGTACAGCCCAATTAGGTTTTGCCATATACAAACCTTGTACTGCTGTGTTTCTAGTCATTCTTCGTTCCTAGATTCTGACATGGTTTCAGAGCAGGTTCCCTAGTGGAAACGATTTTTTCTTTCTTTCTTTTTTTAGGGCCCACCACGATAAGATGTTTTTTTTCCTGCCCTGCCCGAAGCGCGCCTCGCGCCTGCCTCACCAGCGCCGTCGCGCACCCTGCCCTCCTGGCCCGTAGCGGCCCTGCCCTAACGACCCGTCGCGGCCCTGCCCTTTCGCTGCCCGTGGCGGCCCTGACCTAGCCGCCCGCCGTGGCCCTGCCCTGTCGCCGCCCTTCGCAGCCTGCCATAGCCGCCCATCGCGGCCTGGCCTCGCCGCCCGTCGCGGCCCTGCCTTACTGCCGCTCGTCGCGGCCCTACCCTGCTTCCGCCCCATTGCGGCCCTGCCCTATCGCTGCCTCGTCGCGGCCCTGCCCTGCAGCCGCCCGGTCGCGGCCCTACCCTGCTGCCGCCCCGTCGCGGCCCTGCCCCACCTACGCCTGGTCGCGGCCCTGCCCTGCAGCCGCCCAGTCGCGGCCCTACCCTGCAGCCGCTCAACCGCGGCACTGCCCTGCTGCCGCCCCGTCGCGGACCTGTTCTACTGCCGCCCCTTCGCGGCCCTGCCCTGCTGCCGCCCCGTCGCGGCACTGCTCTACCGCCGCCTCGTAGTGGCCCTGCCCAGCTGCCACCCTGTACCGGCCCTGCCCTACACGCCAGTCGCGGCCCTGCCCTGCACCCGCCCCTAGTAAGCGCCCGCACTGCCAAGCGCGCCGCTGCGCCTGCCTGCCTAGCCGAGCCGCGCCGCCCTGCCGAACCGCGCCGCCCTGCCGAGCCGCGCCGCCCTGCCCTGCTGCTACTGCCGCCATGGCTAGCCCTACTGTGCTTTCCTTCAATGCTGAGAGCCGTGCAGTCGATTTTGAGGTTTGGGTAGATAACTTGCAGCTCTATCTTCAGTGAGACTCCAGGGACGGAGTCTCGCTGTTCGATCATACGTCCGGAGCTCCTGTTGCTCCTGCTGCTGACGCTGACAGTACGGTACGCTCGCAGTGGACTATTCGTGATGCTGTTGCTCGCCTTGCTGTTCGTAGTCTCCTGCCGTCTGCTGAGCGCGCCCACTTTGGCCAGTACAAAATTGCTAAGTCTCTGTCTGATGCTGTTGTCGCACGCTAATCCTCCCCTGCCTCTGCTGCCCTCAGCCGCCTCATGCTACCGTACTTGTTCCCTAACCTAGCCGCGTTTGCCACAGTCGCTGACCTCATCACTCACCTCCGCACTAGTGACACCCGCTACCGCGCTGCGCTTCCCCCCGATTTTTGCGCCAAGAACCCCCTCCCCATGTACATCACCCTCTTCTACCTCGTCACCCGCCTCCCTGGCTCTCTCCGCTCAGTCAAGGACCACTTTCTCTCCCTTTGCCCTACCAAGCTCACCGTCGACCTGCTCGAGGAGCGCCTCCTTGCAGCTGAGACTGGCATAGTCGCTGTATGAGCTTCTCGCGGCGACCCTCGCGCCCCTTTTTTTGAGGGGTGCTCCCCCGTCCCCCTTCTGCTCTCTGTTGCTTCTGCTGCTGCTGTCGACCTCATTGGCACCGAGGCGGTCGGGGCTGCGTCTGCTCCTAGTGATAGGCACCGCAGCGGCGAGGGCAAGGGGGGCAAGGGTGGTGGAGGGGACGGCGGGGGCGGCGGTGGTGGCGGTGGAGGAGGTGGAGGGGGTGGGAGTGGAGGTGGGGGTGGAGGCGGGAGTGGGGGCGTCGGTGACGGCGGTGGAGGTGAAGGCGGCGGCAGCGGCAGTGGGGGTGACGGCGGTGGTGGTGCTGGTCGGGGTGGAGCCGTGCAGCGTGGAGGCTTTGGCGGTGGCCAGCGCCAGCAGCAGCCGCGTTCCCGTGAGGCCCCGTCGCCCAAGCAGCTTCGTGAGTGGTACGCTGGGCATGTGAGGTCTGGGGGTGCTGGTCCTGCGTTTACATTCTCCGCACCGGCGAGCGCCGTGGGGAGACGTGCGGGTTGCCGCATGCTACGCAGCGCTATTTCGGTCGCCTGACTGACGCCTGGCGTGCACAGTTTCCTGACGCTACTGAGCTCCCTCGCTGGGCTGATCTGCTTAAGTCTGGTTTTGCTATCTTTGCTGCCATGTATGCTGTGACTATTAGTGTTGAGGGTGACTGTTACCTGTTTATGTTGCCAGACCCAGGTATAGAGTCTGCTGCTCTAGGTGCTAGTGAGTCTGCTGCTCCAGGTACTGGTGAGCCTGCTGCTCCAGGTGCTGGTGAGTCTGCTCTTTCAGGTACTGCACCTGCTGAGGCCTTGCAAACTTTCACTCTTGACTCAGGAGCTTCCCGCTCTTTCTTTCGCGACTGCACCACACTCACGCCGCTCAGTCGGCCGGTTGCTGTCTCCCTGGCAGACCACTCTAGGGGCCCAGTCCGTGCAGACTCCTCTACGCTTGTACCGTGTCCGGCGGTCCCGTCTTGCTCACTGTCGAGTCTTCACCTCCCTTTATTCTCTACGAACTTGGTGAGAAGAGCTGACCTCCAGGACGTGTGGGTTGACCAGTTCACTCCTGTGGGTGATTCACTGTATGTGTACTCAGACAGGCCGCCACCTTGCCACATTTACCCGTCAACCTGGGTCGAGCCTGTACATCCTGAATACTGTGTCCCCTTCAGTTACTACGTCTGGTCTGGTAGCAGCGTCTGGTCAGGTGTTTGCTGCTGTGTCCAGGTCTGGTCCGGAGTCTGCCCCCTGCTCGTGTCACCAGACTCTCCTCTGGCACCACCGCCTTGGTCACCCCTCCCTGCCTCGTCTTTGAGGTATGGCCTCTCGTGTCCTTTTCACTGGTCTTTCCCGGTCTCTCCCTCCCCTCCCCCCAGGGCCTGCCCCTACCTGCGTTCCTTGCGTCGAGGGACGGCAGCGCGCCGCCCTCACTCCTCCGAGTTCCCTCCGACGGAGGCTCCGCTGCAGACTCTCCACATGGACGTGTGGGGCCCAGCCCGCGTCCATGGATAGGGTCACGAGCGTTACTTTCTGCTGGTCGTTGAAGACTACTCGCATTACATCGCAGTCTTCCCCTTGAGCCGCAAGGGTAAGGTCACTGAGGTGCTGATCGACTGGATCCGCGCTGCCCATCGCTAGCTCAGCGAGAGTTTCGGCTCGGACCTTCATGTTCTGCGTCTGCACACTGACAGAGGTGGAGAGTTTTCCTCCGACCTTCTGCAGGCCTTCTGTCGTGCGGAGGGCATCCGCCGGACGTTCACGCTTCCGGCCTCTCCGCAGCAGAATGGGATTGCTGAGCGCCGCATTGGCATGGCCCTGGACGTTGCTCGTACGTCCATTATCCACGCGGCTGCTCCCCATTTTCTGTGGCCGTTCGCGGTTCAGTACGCTGCGCATCAGCTCAACCTCCAGCCCCGTGTCTCCGTTCCGGAGATCACACCTGCTCTGCGGTGGACGGGGAAGGTTGGCGATGTGTCTGTGTTCCGTGTCTGGGGATCTCGAGCTTTTGTCCGCGACTTGTCTGCGGACAAGCTGTCCTCCTGTGCTGTTCTGCGTCTTCCTTGGCTTCCCCCCTGACGCGCCTGGCTAGCAGTTTTACCACCCCACCTTGCACCGTATTCTGTCCTCTCAGGACGTCACATTTGACGAGTCGGTTCCCTTTTACCGTCTCTTCCCCTACCGCACTGCCCCTCTCCCCCCACCGCCGCTCTTCCTAGCACCAGGTCCTCCTCCGGTAGACCCCCTCCCCCCTCAGGGTCCTGCCCCCTCAGGGTTAATTCGAAAAGCGCGGACCTGGTGCTTACCAATAATCGGCGTCGGATTGGTCGCCCCCGGCGGTTTTTTGAGGCGATTTTTTCCGCGACCGCTGCTTAGCCAAGATTTGTCAAGTTAGAACGGCTCTGATTACCAAGTGTCATAGGATGGATTTCTCATTCGAAACTTGTCACTAAAACTGAATACAAGGCGTTTTTATACTCGGAAATTACAAGGATAAACAAGATAAAACGAACCTTCGGGGACACGTGTGAAACAATGAGGAATGGAAGAAGAGGGGTTGCACTAGCAGCAGTTGGCATACATATAGGAAACCCTAATTGGGTTGTATTCGCTATAGAGTACCCCACTGCAGGCTAGACAATTATAACATTCTGACACACCCCCATAGCCAAAGTGGGGTGTAATCAGCACAGTGAGCAAGCAGGCATAGAGCAGGAGTTCACAATAGCGAGCAAAGCTAGATTTAATCAC